ATTTGGATCCCTCTCGCTCTGTAATATATACCTCGTACGTCAGGTACGTGCGCGCAGAGTATATACATAAGTAAAGCAAAACCTAGTTCATCACTCGAACTATGGCCGCAATAATGTTTGGACAAATTAAATCAAAACAATGCTAACACTTAACTCTAAAATAACTGTTGATATTCTTAAAGAGGTTGTTGTTTTTGTTTTTGTTATTATTATTATTTATTATCAAATATTATTTACATCTTAGCTTTCTTCTAGCACATATTATGTTTAGACCGACCATGGTGTCCAAAACCATTTAATGCCTCATGTGATCATACTCCTTTCTCTTTAAGCATCAAACTTTTCATCATCGAGAATTCTCACTTCTTCTCACCACGTGTCCAAAACCATTGATGAAATTTCTAATTTTATAGTACACCCAATCCACAGAAACCATGTGAAAATATGAACAAAGCGAGCAGCATAACATGTGTGGACAATGAGGTGGGGGCCGGAGGGTGAGTGGATGAGTGAGTGTCTCAACATCATTCCATTCACTTTCCTTCTAAAGTTCTTTCATAACACCATTTAGAGTAAAATGCAATGACATAAACTGTTTTACCCACTCAAGTTTCAGAAAGTGTGCCATGGAGGCTAATAAGTAATAATAACTTACCCTTCTACAAAGTCTGCAACAAATTCCAATGAATCGCTCAAGGATGCCAAAAGAACAAGTTTGATATCATTGCGAATCAGGTTCTCCTGAAAATAAGGAAATGACAGGATCACAAATGACAACAACATTAACTGGAGGATTCAAAATACAACCATAGCACCAATCCCATATCCCTCGTCCCCTTGAATAAATCCCCCCAGATATATAGTTGTATGATTAACCGGTAAAAGTGGATTGTGGACAAAACTACAAAGACCATAATAGATTTTTGAGTCCTAAGCCTACACTAATTTTCATGAAATGACCCTCAGAGGATACATACCTTCTTGATAGGCCTCAGATTCAGTAGTAGATTGCTTATTCCCTTTTCAACCTCTTTAGCATAAGAAGCATTATTTTCTGAGTTCGGATAATGAACTGAAGTTGGTAAGTATGTAGTAGCTGGATCAAGTCGCATCAGATTTTCGATGTCAAATCTTCCAATAAGCATATAACTTTGTTTTTCAAGAACTGCCTAAAATTCAGCCCGGTAAAAAAAGAGTCATCAAACTGGAGTAGGAAGACTAAGAACAATATATTTTAATTTGTTAACAATCATAAAAATAGAGGGAGAGAGTGTGCTTATATGTGCATAATATCTAGCTACTTTATTCTGGTGAAATTTCAAATGAACTCTTCACACCATTCACACCAGAAATGTTCATCAGGTACTCTGGGAGAAAAAAAGATTAAAATCTAAAAAAAAATCATGTTCCACTAAGAAGTTCTCTAAACCTAATTTAATTCCACATTTTTTTAGAGGATTCCAAGTTTCTGAATTCATATTCATTGATCTTTTTTGAACCCGATTTAGACCACCATAGGTGGGTGAGATAAGGGAAAGGGAACACCTAATCAGTTTATCATGCATATTCATTGATCTTATGCAACAAGTACTTCCATTTATATTTCACAGTTATCTTTGACTCTTTTTCAATCTCATTTTATCGACTTAATAGAGTTAATTTAACTACTCTAGGAAGAAAAAAATGCATGCAAGAAAACAAACTAAATGTAGGTTTAATATGTAAGGATTCACAAAATGGTCAATTGCTTACATGCCAAATCTTAGCACTTAAAAACCTTAAAGATCTAGTTGTACTCTTCATAGCTTAATTATAATTTAAAGAAAGGCAAACCAAAAGCTAGTACAAACAGTACAAAAAGAGCTAAACGCAAGAAGATATTATCAATAACAGAATAAAGAATATTTGGAATTATAAATCCTTGAAAAATTTTAGATAGGGTCATAGGGAAGAATAAAAGGAATATAGTTGCCTCCATGTATGAAGTTCGGCATCTTTCATATGCCCTCTCAAGAAAACTTTGCACATAGCTCACAAGACCAACAGCAAATTTAGGCAATGCTTGAGCCCAACCAAGTACCTGTAGT